CGTAAATTAAAAGATTGGTCAGTCGAATCTGTCGAGCAATGTCTTTGTCCATATGGAAAGATACGCCATTATCCGATAACACATTCATTATTCAAAACATTTTGAGCTTTTCAAGTTTCAAGCGAAATAGGAATATCAAGAATCTCTTGCACGAATATTGCACAATATTTTTTATACATTCTATTCATATTTTATTTTTTGTTATGTTTTTTATTGCATAATTTTATTTCAACAATTTTATTTTACCTCCTATTTTAAGAATTTATAATATATTAACGTAAAGAATTTTCAAGCATTATGTTATTGGTTACAGACTGAACCAGACACAGCCGTCCGCGTCGACGTCGAAGCTGGAGGCAACAACGACGAACCCGAAAAGGGACCCTTCACCGGTGCCGATATCGTGCGTTACTAAGAAGGAAGAGAAATCCGAGGTCGACGAGAAACGGGACGATCCCGTCAAGGACGATTCCGACGACGGTCAAATTATACCTTGGCGGGCTCAATTAAGGAAGACTAATAGCAAGCTTAATATCCTTGATTAATCATCGAACGTTACGAACGCTTCTTTCGTTCTTTTTTTTTTTCTCAAAAAAAATCGCGTGATGTAAGTATCCCGCTAAAAATATTTGTTATTAAACGCGCATGTCTCGCATATCTGCCTAAAGTTAAGGGAACTTATGTAACATGTGCAAAAAATAAATGCGATAATAATTCAATGTGTCAAAGATAAGAACGTTTAACAGATTAACGTAAGAAGTATCGAGAGACTTTAACCCTATCGAAATTAATTTTTAAAAATCCATACATAAAATAAAAATTCATGCGATTACGATTCCATCATCTATTTTTTTAAATCGCGAGATAAGCTGTATTTTCATTCAACGATATTACACGAAAATCATAGACTATCATAGATCATTATTTACATTGAGAAAAATATCGATTTTAAATCAACGTAAAGTAGGTCAAGGAAATCGTCATTGAAATTTTACCCATATGCGCTGGAATTTATTATACGAAGTATATGGTGATTCATTGTGCGTATACTGAAGCATTGTATATTTGTGCGATAACCTCCAACGCACATTTGCGATAAGCAAAGTAACTAGCTGACTTGCTACGAGTACCGCATAGGTATTGCAAGACGATCTAATGCTGAACAGACTATTAATATCGGGAACGAGGTGCGCCTGTTTGTGCGGTGCGACTAAAGTGCGGGCTTGCCCGCTATTTTCTGCTAGCTTCTTCGAACTCGTTCGATCCATTGACGCAACATTTCGCAAAACTTGGAGCTTTCGCACTCCACATGCACGAAAATTGGCCCACTCGCATTATTCTTGAAATAATTTCAATGGTCTGCCAATGAATGGGAAAATTGTCAAGCGGCAGTCATGACCAAGGTCCGACACCACCTATACGACAACTTATGAAAGCAAAACAGACACGAGCAGACGACTCGTGAGTTGGCACAATCGCAACGCGCTTTTAATTAATCTATTCTGTTTGTAATTTGCGTAGAATGCGATGAAAATTCAAAATTTGAACTGCGATGAAGTTCGTGATAAGAAGACTAAGAAGTGGCATGATCTCTTAAAGATATCCCAACATCCGGGATATACAGCAATCATATCAGATGAGTCACGGTGTGCGATATTGCGACGCACCGAGATTGATGATGGACCGAAAATATATGTGGTCGCGTGTATCACGCGCGTGTGTATTACGTAAAAATTGTTTACGCCGCTTAAAACATGTGACGCAGATCACTCGTCAACCGTACATATATATACGCTAACGTCCTATTTTCGATCAAATACATTGCATCGACTGTAATCGTGTAAAAATCCTAGAATCAAAGACGATACAATGATAATATAAATAAAGTTAAATTGGCATCATTCGAATAAAAGCGAAAATCAAGGAAAATATAATCTTTTTCGGATATCTATATAAACACAAATTACTATAATTTTTAAGATATTCGAATACTTTTATATATAAAATAGTTTAAAGAACTAATTATACAAAAATAAATAAAAAAATATAGAAAAAACAGATCGTAATATAATTAAATAAAGAAATTATTATACTAACGTCGAAGCTGGAGGCAACAACGACGAACCCGAAAAGGGACCCTTCACCGGTGCCGATATCGTGCGTTACTAAGAAGGAAGAGAAATCCGAGGTCGACGAGAAACGGGACGATCCCGTCAAGGACGATTCCGACGACGGTCAAATTATACCTTGGCGGGCTCAATTAAGGAAGACTAATAGCAAGCTTAATATCCTTGATTAATCATCGAACGTTACGAACGCTTCTTTCGTTCTTTTTTTTTTCTCAAAAAAAATCGCGTCATGTAAGTATCCCGCTAAAAATATTTGTTATTAAATATGCGCATGTCTCGCATATCTGCCTAAAGTTAAGGGAACTTATGTAACATGTGCAAAAAATAAATGCGAAAGAGAGAGAGAGATATTTTTTGCTAGTTGAGATATAAACGAACATATAAGATGGTTCACGGAATTACACAAAATAGGAAGTGTGTTTGATATTCTCTGCAAGACTAGCACGTACTGATATAAATACTTTAAAAAGGAATTAAATGGATATTTTTATATACTCAATGTGTTTAGTATCGTTGCAAATATTCTCACTCATAACTAATATTATAATTTTGAATATATCTTTTTTTACGGAAATTGTCGAAGCATAGTGAAATTTAATGCATGTTCAAGCTTGAAAGAGAGAGAGGTTCAGAGAAAGGATCTCCCGCAAGATAATTCACCCATTTCCCTCAAATCCTTGGAAAAAAGACAATCTTTGAAAATACGTTTATTGAATAAGCTCTCAAAAATTATTGCGCAAGCATTCCATAAAATATAGGTACCAAGAAAATATGGAAACTATATATGTAAAGAATTAATCATCGTGTCTTAAGTTATGTAATACGAATTAAAAGCGATATATGTACATATGAATAAGTCTTATAATTTCGTTTGCATAATAAAGTTAAAAGCAAAATCTAAGTAATTAATTTTAATCCCATTCTTAAAAGCTGGAAAAAACTAAAATATTAAAACCCCCCGTTTTTAGTTTAGTTACTTCAATATTATTTTTTCGGTTAAGGATCACTTTAATCTAACAAAAATTTCGTTCTTTCGTTACTTTAATTTTATTTTCCTGAGTTATAGACATATACTTTTTAATTCAACAATCATTTCATTCAATACTTAACTAACAACAAAAAAATTTTGTGAAATTTCATGAAGAAGTAGGTATGTCTGATTCAAGAGACAGGCAATTCTAGATCTGATTAATCGTGCGAGAGAGAGAACATTAGCAGTAGAGCGATAAATACGGCTGGTAACTACCAGTTACAGTCATTAGAACGCAGAAGCTACAGATCAACGAATTAATACTGACATTGATTAATCTTTACGAAGTTACGATAATGCTAGAATGTTACAACATGTGTGTTTCTGTGTGTGTCGTTCTAGACAACAATTATCTCCCGACACTTTGCAATGATTTATCTTTATCTCTTTGTGAAATAACGGAGCAAGGAACGATTACGAGATATTTTAAGAGCGTGGAATTATACTAACTCCTTAACTTTTGGATACTGTTGTTTGCGAATCCGCAACTATACGCGAGAAATTATCTATTAATAATTCTACATATATAATATCTGTCTAATTAATAACTTATTGAAACTATATTGTGTTTATACACACATTCTATTTGATAGGAAAAATAAACGAAAAAGAAAAGGAATAATTATTTAAGTCGAATAATATTTATTTTTCAACATAATCTACTTTTAGCTTGACACACGCATGCACACGCACACAGAGCCCAATGATGTTCATGGAGCATCATATTATTTTTATAGAATAATTTGTTTGAACTAAATAAGCTCTTTAAAATAGCCAAAATAGCATCGATGATTTCACTGTTGCCAAACAAGTTCTTTCCTCCGAGCAAAATACACAAAATGAGTTTCAAATTGCTACTGCATCCGGCCTACTTGTCAAATTTGGCCTCTTACGACTTCCATCTATTCTCAAACCTAAAGAAATGTCTCATCGATGCTGTAAATCTTGAAAAGCTCATTTAGCTCGAACAAATTGTTCTATAAAAATGATATAAAGGCCCTCGAACATCGTTGCGCTAAATGTGCGTATGTATGTGTTGTGTGCCAAACTAAAAGAAGATTATGTTGAAAAGTAAATATTATTCAATCTAAATAATTGTTGTTTTTCTTGTTGTTTATCTTACTTATTAAATAACGCACACATATATGTATATATGTATACTGCGTATACTGTACTATTATCTTTCACGCGTTATTATTTATTTAAATAAATTGTTTTAAAAAAGTTTATAAAAAATATTTAAATAGCAAAAGAATATTTTTCATAAATTTCAAGTGTGTGCATAAAGAGAAAACACAATATACTTACGGTTTCTCTAAAAATTATTTAGAAAAAGAATGTGTGTAGATCTGAGAGACAAAAAAAATAAAATACCACAAGAGTTTAAAAAAATATTCACAAATATTCAAGGGTTAATCGCCCAGCCTCAAATTTTGCAGGCTGCCTTTTTCTTTCTTGGATTTCTGTTTGCGCGATATGGGACGCATCTTCCTCTATTGTAACGGAGAACATTTTGCTCTAGTCCACATACCCGAATCCCCATTTTGCGTCCCTTCTCCGGGTAGAGGTAGACTATAAGGAGGGTAGAAAAAGCTATTGGTGGGGCACTTCGTCTTCTCTTCGATGCGGCGAACAGAGCGCGTCATTGTGCACAGACACGTGTGCTTGTGACGTGCGTGGTCGTGCCGCTCTTTCTCTTTATCTCTCTCTCTCTCTCTTAGTAAAAGATTTAATAAGAATTGTTAAAACGGTCCAAAATAGTGTGATCAATTCTATTAAATATATTTCAGTTTTATATAGATAATTATAAAATAATATACATATATTTTATTTTAATGTTATTATAAAGCATAAATATTTTTTTTTTTAATTCTTCCACAAAGAAGAATATAGAAAAAGAAATCAGAAAGAATATTCAAATTGATCATTACTTTTTCATTAACTCAACCCATTGATCGAATATTCGCGATCGATGTAGAGTCACAACAATGACCGGAAATGCGTTTGTGCAGATCGCCTCTCATGCAGGCAGGTGCTCAACATCATGGTGATCCTCGGCTTCATGTTGAACTATATGCTACGCGTGAATTTGACGATAGCGATCGTTTCAATGGTGACACCGGACAATAGTAGCAGTCAACATTCGCATTTCAACGAATCATTGTCGGTGTCGGACGAGTGCACTGCCCGGACGACGATGATGAACAACCACACCCCGATCGACGACACCAGGACCCCAGCGATCCATATCAATGTTAATAGAGTTAACGAGACGGACAACGCTACTATGCTCCTACCATCGTTCCCCCAACGGCAGCCGGTTCGTTGAGACTCACGTAAAGTCGAACTTGCACGGTTAACGACCCCGTCGATTGCCTACAAACGAGTTTTTACATTTAAACGCCTATTTTATTTTCACTCGCGTTTAATATATTATCGAGAAATCGACGCGAAATTTATTCATGCTAATCTAATCACGATTAACTATACAAGATTCCTTTCTAAAGTTTAAAATAAATTCTTTTGCTTTAATCGCGCGCACAAGATGGTCTCAAAACCATTTTCTTAATTCGTTTGAGTTTATATCTTTTCTTTAGTCTTAATTTCTCTCACTTATAATTTTAAAATCTTTTTCTCACTCATTTTTCCTAATTCACTTTCGTGAATTGTTCGATTTTCAACCTCAGGAGGAACGAGACCAGACCAAGTATCCATGGAACGAATACGAAGTGAATCTGATCCTCGGCAGCTTCTTCTGGGGCTACATATGCACGGAGATACCGGGCGGTCGACTCGCAGAAGTAATTGGCACCAGGAAGGTCTTCGGTTACAGCATGCTGGTATCGAGTTTCATCACTCTATTGACACCATTAGCTGGTACATTTGGTTACGCCTTCGTTGCCGCATTGAGAGTCATATTGGGATTTATGCTGGTACGTCGTTATTTTTCTACGGATTATTATAATCATGACAAATGTACGCGTCCGCTTCGTGAGAATAATCTAACAGGCGACTCGCGTGAAATGAATCTATCGAGCGTTTTTCTCTTTCTCTTTGTATATATACATTAAATTCTATATTATATCCAAATCAGTCGAATTTCACGCACGATTATGCATGATCGCAAACGATTGCACAGTCATTTTGACAATCTCTCAAAATTCATTAATTAATATCTCGTAAATCAGGGTGCTACCTGGCCTGCCATCCAGCCAATGACTGCTCGATGGATTCCACCGACGGAGCGTAGCAAGTTCGTCTCTAACATGATGGGTAAATGGATCATGATGTAATTTGCTTCGCGCGCGCGATTGCGTAGTCAGTTCCGCGTGAGATCGTCGCCGTCGCTATAATCGCCCTTTTCCACCGTTCGAAAAACTTGAGAAACTCGAAACGTACACAGGAAAATAGCAGACGTTTTATGGTCGCGGATGCGCACCGGCTGTATCAAACTCCGCACCATAAATTGCATCGTTATTTACAGCCTCGTCGCTCGGCGCCGCGATAACTATGCCGATATGCGGTTTCCTCATCGACTCACTCGGCTGGGAGTCGGTCTTCTATGTGACCGGCGTGATCGGGATTATATGGAGCGTGGCGTGGTTCTTGCTGGTGTTCGACTCACCGTCGCAGCATCCGCGTATCAGCGTGGAGGAGCGACGTTATATCGAGGATTCGATTGGAACGACCGCCACCAACAAGGTTGTAATAACAGCTGTAGAAAGCGTCTATTTTAATTTCAGAATCTATTTTAATCCCTGTAGTAAACTGTTTTAATTTATTTTAATCTTTTAAAAAACAAACAAATAAAAATGTAAATTTTTTTTAAAAATAGATTTGAATTTTTAAAATAAAGTTTACACATTGCTTTAATTTTTAAATAATGCGGTTTGTTTATAATTATTTGTCTCGGTTATAAAAAAAGCTTTATTATTTTTTTCTTTGAAAAAACTTGATTAATATTAAGATATTAATTCAATATTTTAATTGCAGCATTTGCCAGTGCCATGGCGCTCAATTGTCACCTCGGGACCTGTTTGGGCTATTGTGATAACGCACGCATGCAGCGTTTTCGGTTACTTCACCATTGTAAATCAACTCCCGACTTACATGAAATATATCTTGCACTTCAACATTAAGGAGGTACATATTATCAATCTAATAATAATGGATAAAATTCGTATACGTCGCTATCGCTTCTTTTCTATTTATACTTACTCGAGAATGGAAATGATATGGAAATGATGATTTGTAGAACGGCCTCTTATCCTCGTTACCCTATCTCGGCAAGTACATTTTCGCTTTATCAATGTCCACCCTGGCCGATTACCTGCGTCGCACGAACAAACTATCCGTAACTGCAATACGCAAAATTTTCACGACATTCGGTGAGTAAAGCTTCGCAAACGTTTTCGCGATTTTTTCTCTTCATCTAAATATGACAACAAGATTTCTCAGATAATCAAATAATTTAAGATTAAATTTTTCTAATATATAAATTAATTAATTATTAATTCTCTTAATTGGATCAAAAGATTCTATATTTTCGATTAATGAAACAACTTTAATTTTCAGCTATTATAACTCCTAGCATCCTCATGGTGATTCAAGTATATCACGGTTGCAATCGTGCGGCATCGGTTGCTATATTCACCGTCGGTCTGACGATAAACGGCGCCGTGACGGCCGGTTATCTGGGAAACGGTCTCGACATCGCGCCCAATTTTTCCGGGACCATATTCGGTATTGCCAATACCTTCAGCTCGATGGGCGGTTTTATTAGCAGCTTCATGGTCGGCACCATAACGTACAAAAATCAGACCTACACGCAATGGACCATCATCTTTTGGACCTTGGCGGCCACTTACTTCACCGGTGCGCTGACATTTCTCTTCTTCGGCACCGGCGAGTTGCAAAAGTGGAACAATCCGCCCAATAGCCAGACGAGGAGAAACGGCGCTACCTTGGAAGATGATGTCGAATCGGTCCCCCTCAAAAATAAAATAATTTCGTAGCGTCTTGAGCGATACGCTTTTTCTCAAACTGCTAAGACGTTACTACGATGGAGGTGTCGATTTATCGCAATGCGATATATTCCAGATGGGACAGTATTCGTTTTTATTATCTTGAAATTTTAAACCGATCAATTGACTTTGTAGCTTGGCAGTAGCTTGCAAAATATCCTTGTTTTTCACTGCCTACTAACTTTTTGCTTAGAGTTAAAATATGTCTTTCAAATCGTAAAATCGATAATTTATTATTATCTTTCTCATTTTATATTTTATCTCTGAATAGTAGAATGCAAAAAAAGAAATATATAGAAACATTGATTTTTTAAAATGAGTTTTATTATAATTATATCGAGTTTTCCCCTTCTTATGCTCGCTTTCTTAGATATGCCAAGTTCGGAGTTGATTGATATAGAATGATTGAGTGCATTTTTACACTCACTTTTTACTGATACTAATGTATATTACACAATAAGCTTACCATATAGTTACCAAAGGAAAGAAAGATAAATAATTAAAAGTGTTTAGTTTATATTAAACGATTATTTAGTATAATTTGTTAATACATGCAAATTTATAAATAAATTTTTAGCGAGTATCTGTCATTTGCCTTAAAAATAACAGCTAGGAAAGACTCAACTACAATATTGACTCCAAGAGAATTTATATAAAAAAAATCTTGCAGAGGATATATGTTATCATAATTAATATCCATGTATATAAATTAATAATATGGCAAATAATATGTTCGTACATTTTCAAACTTTTGTCAACTGTCAATTTTTCAAATTTGATTAGAGAAAAATTGTGACTTTTGCAATATTTATTTACTAACCTCATTAATAAAAATCTCGGCGATACTAGCAATAAAGACAAAAGCCCAAATAATTTCGCTAACAATATCAACGCAATTTATCTCTCTCTCTCTCTCTTCTTCTCCACCTCCATCATGCGTAGCCGTAGCCTTCGTTACGACACCGAGCAACGTTAGCGAAGCGATAGAACGACGCGGCCCGCGGAAGACGTTGGTGTTGCAACGCTGACGCTATTGACGGGCCTCCTCTTCGCCATCCTTGTCTTCGGAGCAACAAGCGGCGAATCGTAGCTGCGATTTTTGGCAGCGTTAAAGAAACAGAGCAAACACAGTTAAAGAGCGGCGAGCGAGCGAGCGAGTTACAACGGCTGGCGAGAACGCTCTCTTGAATTCCCAGTCTTCTTCGAAACTTTTACGGGGTTGAAAGTTTGTGTCACACATACCGTTCAGATGATATAATGATTGTTTACGCATGGAAGTGAAGAACTACAGTTGTGGAGGAGATACAAATCCATAATAGTGTATAAGTAATAAAGAAGCAAGATTATAGCCAATTTTCGAAATAGTGCATTAAAGTAATAAGGGCGAAGAAAACTGGATGAACTGGTGCACCCCTTCTATATAGTGAGCGTGCCTGACTTTTAATTATCGCTAAACGAAGATTGGCAGATACTAGTGAAATGGCATCCAATCGCAGTGTGTTAAAGGGTAAGTCAATGGTTCAATGGTTGAGAAGTGAAAAGTTAAATAGATAAATAGGAACGTTTATTATCATGTCCTATTAATCTATATCCTTTAAAAGAAGAAAGATATATTAGTTCGCCTCTGAACTTTCTAATTTCAATCAAAAGTCTAAATAGAAATTTATGTCCACAAATATTTATTAGAGACTGCATTTTTTTATCAGATGTGTATCATAGTTTTGATAATACTGTTTAAAATTTTATTTTTAATAATTAGTTTTACGAGAAGCAAGCAAAAATTGAGGTTTGAAAAATTGATCCCCAAAAATATCCATTGAAAATTACGGAAACGTGAACACATCTTGGTAAAAAAAAAAAATAAAAACAGAAATAAAATAATTTATAAATACAAACAAATAACGTGATATCGAAAATGATATTTTGCTATTTAGATTATAATTCGCCAAAGAAATTTAGACAAAAACATTTTTAAACTTCAAGAATACAAGCTAATTTAGCATATAAACAAACAACGAATATACAAAATATAGTCTGCTAATAAGTAAATTAATCAAGCTGACCAAATTCATATCAACTCTAATTAAATGCACCATTTAATTAGTGAAAAATAGAAATATATCGATTTAGAAGATCTATTTCTTGATATTTCTTTTCTCTACAAAAAAAAAAACTCTATGCATTTTCAACAAACTAATATAAATATGAATGAAAGTAAGAAACGTGCATGCACATTCAGAGCTCTATTAACATAACTGTTTAAAATAATTGTTACAAAGTGAATATAAAGAATACAGTAAAGAATCATTATTATTATGAACACAATTACTTAAAATAATTGTTATAATTAACGTAAAAAAGAATGCCAATATTATAAAGCATAAACAAATTAACGGAGAATAGAAGTAGTCTAAATTGATGTTTGTTTTGTCTCCCTTTCATTAAATTAATATATAAAATATTTGCATCTTATTGTATGGTGTGTGTCAGAATACACAAAAAGATCACATATTGTATGCTTTTAGTTACAAGATCAAAATTTCCTAATCTTCCGCATTGGTAATGCTATTATCAGAAGGACACATAAGTATAAACAAATAGTATATCTCCGTATGATTGATGTTTGAAATTCTCTTACAATTTACAAATATTATTCTTAATGTTTAACATAATGTAACATGTTTATTAGACTTCAATTCACAAAAGTGAGAAAAGATTCCATAGTTAGTTCCATGTTAGATTTCTCTCATCATTAGTACAGGGATCTAAGTATCATAATTGACGTTTTATCGTTCATAAATATTAAAAAAGAAACTATTTGATAATCGACGAAATTGCTTTGTTTTTTTCCAAAGATAAAATTGAAAAAGAAATTATTTCAGATTTAATCAATCATAAGTAAAATATAAGAGATTTTATTTCATTATAGCACATTTTTGCTAACGCTTGATAAAACGATAATTTCTCGAAATAAAACAATTGTAGCATATATATAATCCTTCAAAATATTGTTTTAATTATATTTTTATGTTAATCTATTTTTTATTTTTATAAGATAAGGTTCAAATAGTTCCGTTTAACATTCTTAGAATCTTAATTGGAGTTTTATTATAACGTTTACAAAAATGATCTTGTAGTCTAAATAAAAGTTTCTAATTGTAAAACTGAATTATATTTAGATGCAAAAAAGAAAACAGAAACGTATAAATGTTTGAGATGCTCATTGCAATCTTATATAGCTCTGGCAATACAATGCATATAAAATTTACTTATTAACATTATTATATTTTACTAGAAATATTATTTTTTGTTTCACAAAAATATTTTTCTGCAGAAGTGCAAAACAGAAAAAAGAATGAGTTTCAAGTGTGGATAAAACTTAAGTCGCGCATAAATCCCGCGACAGATGGCAATGAACGCGGTTTCCGTTTAAGCGTTAATGTATTCTTACATTATAAAAAGAGATAGTAATTTATCAAGAAATCGCATAATTCAACGAATTAGCAAATTAAAGTCATAAAAAATAATAAAGTAATAAAAAACGCCAGTTTCCTGGAAATAATCGCCTATCCTGTGTAATTATTAATGAATATTAACTTTAAAAATAGATATTATTTTTTAATAATACATGTGTTATTAAAATATATTAATAGAAAAATATCTCTTATTAAAAAATAAATATAACTATTATATTATTATTATTGATATGTTACTAATTGTACGCGAATTGCAAAATAAAAGTCAAATGGGATGATAAAGCATCTAAGAATAAATGAAAAGAACATAATAATAAATGCTATATAATATATTTGAAGAAATAATATTAATTTTCTAATGTGTTTTAAGATAAAAACGAACATAAATGAAATAGAATTTAGAACAGGAAGAAAAATATTAATAATTTATTAAACTAATCTGATATTTAACATATATGTATAGAGGAAATGATCATGCGCATATATAATTGATGATCTCTGAATGAAATTTCCATGAAATAGCATGTCGAATGAGCACGTCTATCACTATTAAAAATATTGCGATGATTCTTTATCTCGAACCCTCGACTGGATGCTTCTGGGGTTAATACGTGTCATCGACAACGTTCGCGTATTATCGACAAAAGGCGATCGTGCAAATTAATAATGAGCACGTCTATCACTATTAAAAATATTGCGATGATTCTTTATCCCGAACCCTCGACTGGATGCTTCAGGGGTTAATACGTGTCATCGACAACGTTCGCGTATTATCGCGGTCGTGCAAATTAATAGTCGCTCATAGTCCACGCGACGATGGATCAGACTCTAATCTCCATCCAATAAGATGCGAATTCGTGTAACGACGCCTGCAGATAATACCATCTGCATGTTAAACTCGAGTCTTGACCCGAATCGATGTTTCCGACCATTTAAAGCAGCGAGTCATCAAACTCGGCTTTGAAGAGCACACACAGGTAAGTTATTTTAGACCTACGCGAAACGATGAGATACACCCGATATAAATAGCTCGCGAGAAAACGTGCAGAGAGTTCTGGGTGAAGGTCGTGATAGCGCCTATAGGATGACAAACGAAATACATGTCAATTCAAAGATGCATTCCCAAGAAATTGTGACGTTAAACGAGAGTCACATTGAATAATATCATCCATTAACAATAATTTTCCAGGCTTATATAATTTATTTTACATATAGTTTGTACAAATTAAATTGCTTTGCGCCGCCAATTTCTCCATTAAAACTGGTGTAATACTATCGCGAGGTTATTGAAGTTGACTCTACGCTCGAGTCAAGTCTTGATAATCAAGTATAAAGATGGCCATAAAAGTTGTAATTAACGACACCGAGCGCCGTTTAAATTGATCCTGCAACGCTGGGTAAACCCGGAGGTACAACTGACGTATGCGTTAACATTGTTCTATACAAATTTACATGAAGCGCATCGGAATGAGATAGAACAGTGCAGAACGCTTGTTATGATTGGAAAAAGAGCGGCGCTACTGTTTCTGAATAAATAATATATTGATACAACATATTATTTATTCTAGATAATAGTTAATAAAAAAGTAAGTAATATAATTATCATTAGAGATAAATTTTATTTCTTATTATGTCAATCTTTGATGTGTCATTTTGATCGATTTCATAGTGCACAATATATAATATTCATTAAAATTATATATTAATAACCAAAATTAATAGATCCGCGGATTGAAAGTGAATTATGTCGGATTGTAATTAGTTATAAATTATTGACTTCGCCGATTTATTTAATTTTTCACGTATATTACCAGTATCTTTCATTAACGATTGGAATTTTTCATTACGATTTAAATTAAATTCAACAAGCATATTGCATTATCATCGTAGCCATTTTACGTTTATTATTAGCGGACGTTTAAAACCAATGAATTTTAAATTCTAGAAACGTGATATATCCCTTGCATTTAACTATTATACCAATACTCAATTGCTATATCGGGAAGTATAATAGTCGTAATGATGGTTAAGTGAATAGCACGATATGCGAAACAGGCAGACTCTTGATTCGCGAGCATCATTATCATTGATCAGATGGAATTTTTAAACAGGTACTTCTCTCCAATCGTGCAAATCGCATCCACGGTCTTGTCTCTTTTAATCCAATTCTACGTACACAAACAGCGTATTTAGTCAATATGCTTAATGAATAGAAACGTATGGTTAATACGATAAAAAATATGGAATAGCCTGCAATTAATGTGTGCTAAAACGTTCAATTGACTATTCAGATCAAACACGAAAAGAGAATTCATGGAAATGGAGTTTAATAGATATACTAATAGATATATGTCAACAGATATACAAGGTGTCCCATAATAA